ATACTTATAAAATAGGGAGCCTTCATTTTTTTCTGATTCCATTCCGCATTCGTAATTTTTCTTGTTTACTTTAGTCCAACACTTTATAAATAGGTTGATATTATATTTTGATAGTCAGACAGTATTTTTAATATTTATGAATTTAAGCAAAATGATAAAGTTCAATACGATGTATCTCAAAAAATATTAGAATTTTGTGCCCATGGACACTTTAAATTAAATCAAGAGCTTCAACGTAATATAAAATTTAATAAATTTAATCCAAAGCCAGTTGCGATAAGGAAAATGCGGGGTACTTTATAAGTCATGACGCAAATCATTTAAAACACATTCTTTAAGATATCTCATTGTTATCATCTCATTTTACTTATTTTTTAAAAATACAAAAGGGGCATGGTACAAGGAAGCCACAATTTTTTATTTTGATGAAACTCATTGTTCACGAAATCAACAACCACATTAAGTAAATCATTGATAAACCCAAATGACCTTTTGAATGACTTTGTTTGAGGTTCAAAAGTTAAAGAATGTGTCAGTTATGATAAAATCGTCTTAACTTAGCAGTCGTAGTTTCTTTGAAAATATGTGAATTTGTGATTAGAAAACTTAACACAAAAAAATTGCAAAAAAATCGCTGTAAAAAGGGTTAATTGATAACTAATTTTTTTATCAGTAAATTAGATATCCTTATATTTATAATAGTAGGTAATAAAGTTACTAAAATCATAAGAAATGAATAAAACTTTGCGTTTTGGTAAGTTATTCTGGCTACTTTATTATTTGGTGCTTTAGTTTGATTAAGACATTTAAGTTTCCGTTGGATCTACTTGTACCTTTTAGAATAGTTTTTTGGAAATATTTCAAATACGACCAGTAAAACCAATTTGAATTTTTTTTTAATAATAAAATGCTTCATCAGTTTTATTCGGGATATTTTTATAAAATACATATTTTGTGAGTTACTGCGCCGAAAATTTCACAATCTGCAGTTTTCTTTAATCCTGTTATCAAAAGTTTCGTTCTTTTATAAGTCATAAATATTTTAATATGAACCTTTTTTTTTTTTCTAATACAATGTGTACCAGTTTATATTATCTAAAATAAAGTATTTATAGTATTAGCAAAACGAAACATGATCAGAAGAGGAGACCTGGATATAATCGTAGCAAAAGGAACAATAAACATATTTGAGTTACGCAATGCACACCTGATGGAACACAAAATGTTATTAAATTCTACAAATCTGAAAAAACATAAATTTGATTCTTAATTGTTCTATAAAAATTAAGGTACATGTTATTTTACATATCTATTCTCTAGTCTGTATTCTTAACTTGTGCTGCTCTAACAATATTGTAATCAGGTGTGATATGGTACTTTTTAAAGTATAGATATCTTAAGAATGTATTTTCTCTAATTCTTCGACATTCTCCAAGCCATATAGTTGAAGTAAAATATAATATCATTAATGAAAGTTAAAAAATTATTATCAAATTAATAATAGAAAATAGCTTCGTTTGTCTTATTAAAAATCACAGTGCATTATTTGCTGCTATAAAGTATTTTCAATGTGCGAATGTCATTTAACTTCGCCCTTCATAATCTACAAACAGTTTTAATCATTTTCTGATTTATTTGGTTCATGATATACAGGGTGTCTGTAAAAGGTCGTTACAAAAACATACCACATATTCCTTAGACCAAAATAAGTCGATTTAAGTAAAATTACCTTTGTACAAAGTTGCTTCGTTTGGGCTCCAGATGGCCTTGAAGTTACAATTTTTAAATCGTTTTTCCCATATAAATTTAAAACGGCATATGCGATTTTGCTGAAATTTGGTATATTGGTAGTTTTATGTGGCAAAAAAAATGGTATTAAAATTTTGTCCGATAATAAAACATAGGCGTAGATCTTAATTTTTTAAATAATTGCACCTTAAAAAATTCTACGCCAATGGAAGAAAAGGAGTTTGAGTATGAAATTTAGATTGCGCAACTCATTTACTTTAAAAAAGGTACTCTTGATAAAACTCGATTACTCTCATGGTTTTTGTTAAATTTCTGTTAATAATTTAGAGTGTATAGGTTTCACAAAAATATTTATTTACAACATAATCAGAATAGAGATTTTACAAAAATTGTTCAAAATGTTCACCATTTTCACGCATACAAAGATTTATACGTCAAAGAAAATTAAAATGTATCCTTTCCATAACTTCTTCATCACCTCTAAGATTGTTTATTGCATCTTGAATACGTTGCCAGAGCTGTTCCTCATTTTCTACAGGTTCCCTGTAAACTGTGGATTTCAGATGTCCCCATAAAAAGTAATCTATCGGTGTTAGGTCTGGGGAACGTGGTGACCAGTTTACAGGTGCGTCATTACCTCTGCCTATCCATTTGTGAGAATATTGTTCATTCAAGTGGTTTCTACCGTTTAAAGAAAAATGTGGTGCTCCATCTTGCATAAACCACATATCTCTCCGAAGTTGGAAAGGTAAATCTTCTAACAATTCTGGCAACGTATTTTGTAGAAAATCCAAATAATTTTCTCCAGTTAATCTTCGTGGAAGTATGACAGGACCAACAATGTAATTACCAATTATTCCAGCCCACACATTAATTTTGAATTCGTGCTGAAAATGGTTTACCTTTATTGCATGCGGATTTTCAACGGCATAAACCTGTTCATTATGGGTATTAGTTATACCTCTTCTTGTAAAACCCGCTTCATCGGTAAAGAGAACCTTCTTGACAAAGTTTGGATCTCTTTCTCTCTGCATATTAACAAATCGACAAAAACCCAAACGAATTTGAGGATCATGGACTAATAATTCTTGTACTGGCTTCTTATGGTATGGATATAGCGATTGTTCTCTAAGCACTTTATGAACGACATCTTTACTTACTCTTAGTTTCCTTCCAATTCGTCTGGGGCTTATTTCTGGATCTTCTTCAACACGTTCTAAAATGTCTTCTTCAACTTCAGGAATCCTTACAAAACGTTCTCTTCCATTATCAACAGTGTTGGGAGCAAAGGAACCGGTCTCCCGAAGATGTCTCTCAACTGCAGCAAAAATTGGGTGGCTAGGTACACGACGATTTGGAAACCTTTCAGAGTACACCCTGACACTCTCTCGAGCATTTCCTTCACAAAATCCTAATGTCAGTAACATATCGGTATATTTTGCATTGGTATATTGTACAGCCATATTAATAAACCACGCATTTGTTTTTTTTAATTATTGAGTCAGATAGAACACTTTCAATCGTTAACAAGAGATTAGGTGTTAAAACTTGACAATATTTTTATTTAGATGAAACTATGGAAACCAACAATAAATGTTTTTGTATACGTATTGCAGGCAAATAATTAATATTCCTCAAAAAATCGTACATGGCAAGAATCGGGTATTTTTGTTAAAAGTCTCGGTTAGAGGTGTTGAAGAAGATATGAAAAAAGTACATTTTTATGTTTTTCATCGTATAAAATTTTGTCCGATAATAATACATAGGCGTAGAACTTGATTCTTTAAATAATTGCACCTTTAAAAATTTTACGCCAATGGCAAAAAAGGGGTTTAGGTATGAAATTTGGATTGGGTACTCATTTACTACAAAAAAGTACCCTTGATAACACTCGATTTACTCTCATGGTTTTGACAAAGTTTGTATTTTAATAATTAATATTTATGTTCTAAAATTACTAAAATGCAAATTTCGTCAACATCCTGTATATTCTTAAATAAAATACAACTTTTAATGCCAACTTTGATCGTACTATTTTTATTTTATGTTTTGTTTGATTATAATTAGATTAATTGCAAATTTTAATAAATTATAATATTTTAGTCAATTTTAATGTAATTTTAGATCCATAAGTTTTTATATAATGGATCCATGTATAAAACAATTTCAAATAAACAAAGTGGATGATTTTATTTTGTAGGATGATAATGAATATAAAAATGTTTTAAGCATTAATCAAATTATATTTTATTGTGTAAAACCGCAAGCAAAACTGGGGCATCTCACAAAAATTGGTGAAAATATTGAATTTACCAAGTTCTTGATATGTTACCACAAAAAAACACAAAAACAAAAAATTGGCCTTAGATAACCAAAAGCTTTTTTTGGTTAAAGGACTTACCTAAAACAAGACGGTAAAATTATAATTGTTTAAGTTAAATAGTAACAAAAAATAATAATACCACATATACCCCCTAAATTACCCAACCGTGCGCTCATCAGAGTCTTTAAAGGGATTAAAATAAGGGTAACACATTGTTACGCTCCACAAAAACCGGGCGGCACAGGTGAAAAATAACAACACCTTATAACTGCTGGCTGTTTAAAATTACAAATTCTGTTTGAACAAATTGGCAGTTTTTTTTTTTTTTTTATTTATATCGTTATAATTCTAAAGCCGTTCCAACCCTGCCAACTTTTTGGTTATATTTAAACAATCATTTAAACATTGACAAACTTTTTTATTTGTTTGCAGTTTTCTCTATACTTTTATAGTAATAAAAATGACCAGAATCGATATATCAATTTTAGAATGATAAATTCAAATAATGGAAATTTAAAAATCTTCCAATTTTTTTTATAAAAAAAGTTTGTAACACAAGAATTGAACATTTTTACCTAAAAATGTTTAGTAGACGAAACCTATGTTATCTAATCTAGTTATAAGCTAATTTTTCTCTAAAAATGAGCGAATACATGTACAAATTTCTCTATACTAGGTACTCTACAAAAAATACTATCAACTTATGTAGTATAATTTCCTTTTATACGATTAACCATCAAATTAAAACCAATTATTCCATTCAAAACCAAATAGTATAGTAGTCAGAATAATTGATAAATCTTTTCGTTACAATATAAACATATTAGAATTAAATTACCCGCATTCCAGCAGCAAATTTTTTTGTGTTAGGGTTAAACTGTAATGATCATCAAGGATGTGTCTGATTTATTTATTGAAATTGCCTTAGATGTGGTGGCTTCTTCGGGGTCCATGATAGTGGTGTCCAACCGTCTGCCGTTCGTCCTTCAAAGAGATAAAGATGGAAAACTTGTAAGGAAAGCAAGGTGAGTCAACAAGTTAAGAATATTCAAACAAAATGTTTTGTATTTTCTTTTGAAGTTTGTTTATTTGTTTTTTGTATTTTAAATGTTTGTGTCGATAATCTGAAAAAAAAACATAAATAATCTTTATATTCCATTTTCAATCATTTATTCTTTTAATAATATGGCCTCTCCTACAATTTGTAAATCGTTTAAAATTAGCGATCAAAAATTTTTTGTTTGATGGTAGTTCCTAATATTTTTATATTTCAAAACTTTGTCTTTTTAGTAAGGTTAACATTTTATTTAAAATTTAGTATTTTTGATTTTTCGTTGTTCCAATATATTTTAGAAATAATTAAACAATCTTTTTTTGTTCTTCAGTGCCGGTGGTTTGGTAACAGCAGTAGCACCAGTAGTCATAAATGGTGGAGGTTTGTGGGTGGGATGGCCTGGTATACATTTAGATGATCCCAATGAGCCAATCCCGGAATCTGATCCTAGTGATATAACCCCGACAGCTGGACTGAAATCAGAAAAAGTATGTATAGGTAAAAGAATTTTTTCAATAATGTTTTTATAGTTGTTAAGTGAGTAGATCAACTACTTGGGTATTTCTGTAAACATTTCTATTACATCCAACTATAAAGCAAATGTTCAAATTATTGATGCTTCTCATATAGAACAGTGAGATAAACAAGCAGTGAATGTATGCGTTCTGTGAGATGTCATCGATATTTTGTGGTCTATTTTGATATATTTTACTTTTTAAATATCCTTTTAAAAAGAAATGATGAGGAATTAAATTAGGCGACTAAAGTGACCATTTGATTGATCCTCTTTGACCGATACACCTGTCTGGAAAAACGTTGCCAAAAAATATTTTCTTACCAAGGGTGAGATTACAGAACGTCTGCAACTTTGCAGATCTGCAAATATGGCGGACTTACATGTGCATGTATCAAGTTTTGGTATTCCAAAAAAGTTTTGAAAACTCGCACTATTTATTATCTCGAACAATACTAAACCCAAATCCTTTACTATGTTTAAAAACTCGATAATCTGACACCATGAACTGTATACAATGAAAAGAAACAGAAGACTTCATGGTTGTAGGATGTTATCCTAACCTTCTTAAGGGTGGATTTGGATTTAGTGTTGTTAGGGATAATAAATATTGCGAATTTGCAGATATTTTTTGGATACTTGCATCTGTAAGTCCGCCATATTTGCAGATCTGCAAAGTTGCAGACGTTCTGTAATCTCATCCCAAGGCAGCATATTGTTATTGTAAGGGCACATCAGTTTGCTGCAGCTACAAATCATCTCTGATACGAAACAACTGAGTCAGTTTGGGTAGCAAGAAATTTTGCAAATTTTTTTAATATCGAAGTAAGGTTCCATAATCACATTTTCTATTTTTTTCATCCATGCATTCAATATTTCCAGTCGTTCCAGGCCTTCCGGACTAATCATCATATAATTACCAATATTTTCGAAAGTAGCACCAACTAGAATTGGTTTTAACAATCCTACAGGTTTTTTATTTTCCTGTCCTTTTTTTGGCTTAGCAATTACTACAACCTTTAACGTATTTTTGAACGTCTTTTTGGAAAGTGGACCAATTATATGTAGCTCTCCTCTTGGATAGTAATTTAGCGATTCCCAAATGACCTGATGTTAGTTCAATGTGGTTTGGGACTAAAATTTCTTTCACTAAAAAGTTAAGTAGGGATATCATTGTTTGATTTATGAATGACATTGTTGATTTGCTTAAAATTGTTTGCACTTGACTTGTACATGTTAAAGATGTGCTTGGATCGGGGATAATATTTTTTACTTTAATTTTTTTTTGTTAGAGTATTATTACTAACCCCATTGGACTATCTTAATTGTTTCTATAGGAAAGCAAGTTGGCGTGACGACTAATTACACTGTTTTACACTAGCACTAACATTAACGTTCACTGCACTAGCTCAAATGGCTTTTTCCTTTCGAGCCTTCTGTTGAGTGTAGAGTTGTCCAGTGTTTTCAGCGCTTCTTCGTTGGTGTGGGAGCGGAGTCGACCCTCATGTTTCGCAGCAAACCTATTTCGTCTTCGATTGTTGGCATCTTCAGGTCCCTATGAAGATAATCGTTTAGATAGAACCAAGGTGCATCAACAATGAATCTTAGGACTTTATTTTGGAAAACTTTTATCATGTTGATATTACTCTTGCTGGCACATCCCCATAGCTGTATGCTGGCTGTATCTTGGTGGGCAATAGGTTGCAGCTATTGTAATTGTGCCCCCCTTAATGTTAATGATGCTAATGGTTACCTTATTTTCTGGTTCTTGGATGCCTGGTTCCTCATAGTGGAAAAGATTAATTTTAATAATTAACGCACTTCATCATCTTGCTGCATTTGATGGATGCATAGTGTGATAGAAGTTGTATCTTCTGAATTCAATGTATGACTCTGTTGTAAGGTGGGTCTCAGAAATCAGACATATATCTATTTTTAGTACGTCCAAGAAAACTTGGAAAAGAGTTTGTTTTTGGAGAATACTATTGGCATTCCAAGTGGCTATTCTAATATCGCGTTTATGGGTCTCTTCTCCCTCTTTATTATTTTAGGTTTAGTGGTGTTATCTGAAAAGTTTTAGATACATCACATCCTCAAGATGTTCCATTAGATAGTTTATACACTTCGGTTGTTGTTTTGGACTTTTTACACAATCCTTCGCATGATGTTTTCCTACCCATTTTACGCATTTTGATTCTCTTTTGCAAAAGTTGTGTGAATGTCCAAATAGCTGGTAGTTTTTGCATTCCGGAACTAGTTTTGACCTTCTTATGGTTTCTATTCTAACTCTTAGATTAAGTATTTTTTTAATTTCGTAGATTTTCTTGATATCTTCAATTATTTCAAAGGATAGCATGAATAGCGGCAATGATTTTTTATTTAGTTTACGAGTGTTATCCTCGGTTAATTCTATTTCCTTTTTATTATATTGACAGCTTCTATACATTTTAATTCTTGACTTTGCAAGTCTTCAACAATATCTTCTGGTTTAGATGTAGATGGTAGACCTCTAACCATCACTTTAATGTCTCTGTTCTGTTTAATTTCATGTCTTTGGCATTCAAGGTTGATATAACATTTTTGAAATCTTGTTTAGTGCAGTCAAATCGGGTAACTTTGGACCAATGGGGTAACATTAGACCAGGCTATAAATGTTATTTTACTGCTATCGTTTAAGAAGGAAAGATATCCTTATATTTACAATAGGACCCATAGCTAATTATAACTTCAACCTTATTTGTAAAAAAATACAAATAATAATAACTGACCTGGGGTCTCTACATTAAAACTAATATGGTTTAATCTTACCCTTAGCCTTTAAATTGTAAGAAATCAGTAATTTCTGTCGATGAAAATACTTTGGTCAATGTTATCCTAAATCCCATATACTTAACTTTGGACCACACCCAAAAATATATTTTTTTTATATTTACAATAAATTTTAATATATCGTCAGTGTTATAGATAGACAGATCTATGGTCGCAAGGCAAGTTAATAATACTTAAATATGTCAAATAGTTAATTCGTTAGGGATTTTGGAATATTTTTATTTATAAAGAATAGCAAACAAAAATGGCAGCTCATTTTATTAACAGTCAGTGCAATAGTGAAAATCAGTTTATTTTAGCATTTATCAAGGGAAAAATGTCTAATTTCAACAATATTACTAGTTTTTTTAAGTTTATAAAACATTACAATACGATCAAAAGCAGTGTAAATAAATCACAGACTTTTGAAACAAAAGATACAGTGATGTACGCGTACGTTTAAGATCTAATAAAATATACTTAAATTATTATTAAGTTACTACTAAATAAACTGAAATGGTTATCAAAATATATGTCCAGTCCAAAGATTTATTCCTAGTGATGAGGAAAACTGTTATTGCAATAAATGTGAAAAATGGTTCCATTGGCCTGCAAATTAAGATTTGTATTTTCAAGTAGTAAATGATAATAATTCTCATCTTATCCTGATTAATTTTAACAATTGTTTTTAGTCGAAACACCTATTATAAGTCTCATTCACACTGAACTAAATAAAGCATAAAAGTGACGTACGCTTTTGAGGTTAAGTGTACAAATTTGTACCCATGAAGAAAACATAAGTGTAGATGTGAATATCAAAGGCTTGGGTTGCGTGGTGATGTACACAGGGAGGGGTGCTATAACCTCTACTTTGGAACATAAGCCTCAACACCCTCATCAGCCGCCTCAATAATAGTCACTACACAATAGCGTATTGTTAATTTGATCGCCGATTTCTTTTGCTAGTTCTTCTTCATCAGTCTCATAATTCGTTGGACTTTTAGATTTTTCTTTGTTTAAGATAATAATTTGTTTTTTCATAATTTCGATATTGTTTCGCAGTTATTGCAATGCACTTTCTAGTTGCTGTTTTTCAGCTTTTTCCTGTATCCAAGCATTCTGACTTCTAGCTTGATTTTCATGAAATAGAGGCTGATATTGTTGGGCTGGGAGATTTTTTCCCACATCCGTTGTTTCTAAGAGAAAAATTAAGTTCATGTTATTTTCTTCTATACAGGGTGTTATTGAAATACACGTACACATTAAAACTGGGTATTGCGCAGATCCCCACTGAATGTAGAAAAATATTTTTAAAAATACCCCTTATTAAGGGAGTTATTAATTTTTGAAAATTAATTCTAAAACAAACGTACTTCACTGATATGTTGAGGATGACCTATATAAATTAGGTTTATTTACCTATTTTAAACATCAACAGTAATTAATATGCAAGTTTTTGTCAGATGATAAGAAAACTAGTCTTGTAAGAAATAACCATGTTGCCAAGATTTTCGAATTAATTTCTATTTCCGAAGACTGGTTTTTACTACCCTCGTTATCAAAAAACTAGAATATTTGATAAATGATTGTTTTTAAACTATACATTTTTGAAACTATATATTATTAAAATTTTAGTTGATTTACGAATCTGGCTAACACGAGCGCGTCATTTCCAAGTTGGTAAAAAGTGTTGTTACGATTACTTTTAAATATTTTTTTACGATGCCACTATTTACGAATATTGAACTAACGGCTATAGTGCTGGTTTATGGGGCAGCTGGAGAAAATTCTCGGCAAGCACAAATCCTGTATCGCGAACGGTTTCCAAATCGGAGAATTCCGGACTGTCGTACGTTTATTTCAACTGTTCAGCATCTAAGAGACCATGGAAAATTTGAGAGTGTCAATGTAGATCGAGGGAGAACAAGAACACAAAGAACATTGGCGGCCGAAGAAGAAATATTGAAAGCTGTTGAAAACCGGTCTCAATTAAGTTGTGGAAGACTAGGTCTTGAAATTGGAGTGTCCTCATTTGTTGTGTGGCGGACACTTAAAGAACAAGGTTTACATCCTTATCACATCCAAAAAGTCCAGGCCTTATATCCAGGTGATGAAGAAAAGAGAGTGGAGTTTTGTGAATGGATGATTCAAAAATGTGTTGATATTCCTGATTTTCTAAAAATATTATTGTATACTGACGAGGCTTCATTCACTCGTGATGGCGTGTTCAATATGCACAATACGCATATTTGGAGTGATGAAAATCCTCACGCCATTAGGGAAACTGGGCATCAAAGAAAATTTTCAATAAATGTTTGGGCTGGCATAATAGATCAGTATTTAATCGGGCCTTATGTTCTCCCGAACAGATTAAATGGGCCAGGATATCTCCACTTTTTAGAAGATATTTTGCCAGTACTCCTAGAAGAGATACCGTTACAATTAAGGCAACGGATGTGGTACCTACTAGATGGCGCTCCTCCTCACTTTGATTTAAACGTACGGCAGTTTTTGAACATTAGATTTCCTCAAAAGTGGATAGGCAGAAATGGACCTACTAAGTGGCCTCCGAGATCTCCGGACTTAAATCCATGCGATTTCTTTTTGTGGGGTCACATGAAACAACTGGTTTATAATGAACCTATTAATAGTGTTGAACAATTAACCAATAAAGTTAATGCGGTAGCCGAGGAACTACGACAAAATCCAAGACTAATTTCTAATGTTCAAAGTTCTTTGGAAAGACGATTGCAAGTGTGTGTAAATAATAATGGACGGCATTTTGAACAATTACTGTAATAAACTTTATTTTGAATTAATTGGTTTTGCTACGGCAACAGTGCAATTTCTATGGGTAAGTTCAATTTCGATTTATTTTACTTCTTTAAATATGGAAACTAGTAGGTCGGAAAAGGGGACTCTTCCCCAATATTTAAATTTTAGAATTTGAAGTTAAAATTGGTGCCAATCGTTTTTGGTCATTACATACTATTCCCCATTTTAATATGTACGTGTATTTCAATAACACCCTGTATACTTATTTGTGAATATTTAAAATTTGGAAATAAAAACATATTATTAGTTTAGAAATGTTGTTGAAAAAACGATTATCTTTTTTCGTGCTTGTATCAGCAACAGTATATAATTAAACAATTTTTCGCACTAAAAAAGCCTTAGCAATGATTAGCTAATCAACAAGATTATAAAAATTAGTTATTTATCACTTTTAAACCGTAAAATTTACGACAGTAATAGTAAATGTTCATGTCGAATATTTGTGTCATGACGTTTCAAGAAACTGAGACATTATTATTATTATTATACCCCCGTTTAAAAAATAGAAATGAAAATAATAACATGAACATTGTCCGAGACGTTGAACTATTAACAGATTATCAAAGAAAATTAAAAACATGTTATTTACGGATTGTTATCGTTGTTTGGATAAATAAGATAATATTTATTCTAGCTAAATCTAGATGACAAATTTACAAATTTAACTAAACAAAAAAATATTTAGGTTTCATGTCCGCAATTATATTATTTATCTTTGTACATTTTTATAACCACTTCTGAAGAATTTCCTGTTATATTGTTTACGTTTATTAATGTTATAGTCTAAGAATTTTCATTCCTAATTAAAAATGTAGACATTAAGAAAAATATTGTAACCAAATGATACTTTTAATATTTAAATTGCCATCTCTTTTGGTATTATAATAATACCAAAAAGTATAGGATAACATGCTTGTATTTTACAAGATAATATACCTGATTATAGTATATTAAATACCCTGTGTAATCCCATACTATTTGGTATTGTTGTAATAGGAAGAATAAAAGTAATTCAAATATAAAATACAGAGTTTGATGCTGTCCAATGTTCTGTAAATACTTTTAAAGGTTCTGTAAAGTTGTCTTTTTTATATTGTGTTCTCTATATTGTTTTTTTCTATTCTATATAGTATTTGATGGTAGTTTGTGCAACAAGAGTAGATGCGATGGCCACATCGCACGAAGCAGAAATCTAATCGTCTAAATGTCAGCATATTATTTAGTTGTTGATATTAAATATAAATAAAAATAAATTATTCTTGTGAATAGCATTCCACGAGATATTAGTCTCGATTTATAAATAAATCATAAATTCTAATAAAACTATCCCAAGCTAATCTAATTAGCTTTACAAAAATTGAGTAACAGTAAAACAGATTATTTTTTGTTTATAAAAAATTATATCAAATTGGAATCTTTTGAAACTGTCGAGATTGCTGCCAATTTTGTTAAATTATACAGGATTAAACCGTACTTACCTATATACAAAAGTGCACCCAAAAATAGTTATAATTAGTAATGGTATTCCAACACGTCATATAAAATTTCATGAAAAAATGTCAAACGTTTTAAGAGCAACGTTAAAAAATTTCATTTAAATTTTTATCTTATATTTTTGGGTGCACTTTTGTATATAGGTAAGTACGACCTATTTTTGACCCAAGAATACGTGGTATAATTTATGACCAATCTTTTTAAAACACCCTATATAATAATTTATTTTAAATATTAAATATACATTATATTCTTTTTATATATTGGAAAGTCACGTCAAAAGTTATTTATTTTTACCTGCTTGGTATTTAACATTGCCTATATAACAGAATAATTAGTAAAATCTTTGAAAAAAAAGTCATTGCTTATGATTTTCGTCCTAATTTATTAGAATATAACTAATAGATAACTATTAATGGCTTCTCATTTTAGTACAAATATTCGTAAATCAGCTGAAAAATGTCTAAAAGTTTTACTATTAATTAAAAAGTTAAGCCGTCCGATATTTAGTAATCGCATATTTTTAATTTCACATTCATTAAGACATTTACTCTTTGAGTATTTGACATCATTGTTTAATTATTTTGTTAATCAATCAAAGAACTTCTAAAATAAAAAAATCGGCAAAGCGTTGGAAATGTTGGAATTGAAACAATTTAATTTAAAAAATCAGGAAATTTTAACCAAAAATACATTTAGCTTTGTATTTATACCTTTTAAATATTTAAAGTGTATTTGTGACCTTTGTTTATATGACATGATTGAAGAGGTATTTTTATTAAAATTTATTCATAATCTTTATTTAATTCAACAATTTTCAAAATCATGAAATTTTTTACTGACCCTATTTCAACTTTAATTTTACCCGTCTATGTTTAAGGTGGAAAATAAACATAACATAATTCGATATATTCCAAATTCGATATATTCCAAATGTAAATATCGTTATATTTAAAATATTATTATCAATATATTTCAAACAATAATAACGATATATTTTAAATATTAATATCTATATATATTTTAAATATTATAAGCGATATATTTCAAATATTAATAGCGACATATTTCAAATGTTAAAACTGATATATTTCAAATATATCAATATCAATATAATTCTGAGATTAACATCGATACTTATATTAAAACTTTAAAATATTAATATTAATATATTTTAAATATTTATATCGATATATTTCAAATGTCAATATTGAATTTTATTTAATATATTAATATTAATACTTTAATTATAAAAAAATTAATATTGTTATATTTTAAATATCTACATTGATACATATATTCCAAATGTTAAAATAGACATATTTCAAATATTAATGTAAATATTTTTTGATGTATTGAAATCGATATATTTCAAAGGTAAATATCGTTATATTTAAAATATTATTATTAACATATTTAAAATTATTATGTCGATATATTTCAAATATTAATGGTCATATATTTCAAATATTAATATCGATATATTTAAAATATTAACATCAATATATTTCTGAGATTAACATCGTTACTTTTATTAAAAAGACATGTTAAATTTGTGATATTTCTATGATCAGATATTATTGATATGTTTTAAATAATAATATTAATATATTTTTGAAATTAACATTGATACTTATATTAAAAATTGAAAATATTGTTACGCAGCACCCTATAGCGTGCTGCGCTCGTCATAGGTAAAGGTACGATTAAATAAAGAGGATAAAATAGTTCAGAAATCTCTCGAAATGTCATTCCTTGTCAAATAAAAGTCAGGATTGTTCGAGAAGGTTCTAGAAGATTGAGGCAAGCTATATAAGTCGACGACCTGACGTCAGAGTTCAGTTTTATGATAGACTGTAGATGTTAATGTTATCAGTTGAATTGAGTTATTGAAATAGTTGAATTAAAATAAATTGTGATACGAAAAACCAGCGTAACAACATTAATATCGATATATTTCAAATGTCAATATTCGTATATTTTCAATATCATCGTTACTTTTATCAAAAAAAATTAATATTGTTATATTTAAAATATCAACATTATTGATATTGATATATTGCATTTAAAATTTTAATACTGATATATTTCTAATATTAACATCGATACTTATATTTAAAAAAAAATTTAATATCGCTAATATTTGAAATGTAAAAATCGATATATTTTTAAATTTAACATCGATACTCATAATAAAAAAATATTATCGCTATATTTTAAATGTCAAAACTGATATATTTTTAATATTAACATCGATACTTATAGTAAAAAAAAGTTGTCGATACTTATATTAAAAAATGTTAATATAATATTAATATATTTTAAATATCAAAATCGATATATTTTAATTGGTAATAGTAATATTTTTTTAATACTAACATTGATACGTATATAAAAAAGTATTAATATCATTATATTTCACATATTATCATCAAATTATTTTAAATGTAAATATCAATATTTTTAAAATATTTTTTAGTTATATTTCAAATATTAATATCGGCATATTTAAGGTATTAATGTCTCTATATCTCAAAATTTAATATGTCAAATATGTTAAATATTATTTTCGATGTTATTTTAAATACTAATAAATTAAAAATTTATTTTTTTGGACAAAAAAACGAATTTTGTACATTTTGCATTATTGACAGAAATCTAAATTTATTAGATTCAATAATATTAAATAACTTGTATTTCAGGTGGTCGCAGTGCAAATTGACAAACAGGTTTTCGACTCGTACTACAATGGTTGTTGCAATGCTACGTTCTGGCCCTTGTTCCATTCCATGCCGGATAGAGCATCGTTTAAAGGCGAACACTGGAAATCTTACGTGAAAGCAAACAAAGAATTCGCCGAGTGTACGCTTAAAGCTTTAAAATCATTACCCAGAAATTCTAGTGATATTCCGTTGATATGGATCCATGACTACCATCTTATGTTAGCAGCTAACTGGATAAGACAGGTAGGATTTAAAAAATAACCAAAACCTTTATAAATAGTCAGTCATTTTTGTTGCATCTAAATCTCGGGAATATTTTAATATCAATTTGATGAGACATAAATTTGGCATTAACAATTTGATTAGAGCCCAAATGCTTTAATATTTTCTAAATTTTTCTTATTACTATTTCAGTTTTTAATTATTTTCAAAGTTTTTGAGAGCTGCTTTTATTAGTCCACCAAGTACAGCAATCAAAATTATTAATTCTTATTTCAGGCAGCCGACGAACAAGAAATCAAATGCAAACTCGGCTTCTTCCTACACATTCCCTTCCCACCATGGGACATTTACAGGCTATTCCCGTGGGCCGATGAAATCCTCCAAGGAATGCTTGGCTGTGATCTCGTTGGTTTCCACATATCCGATTACTGTCTAAATTTCGTCGATTGTTGTCAAAGAAGCCTCGGTTGTCGTGTGGACAGAAAAAACCTCCTCGTCGAACATGGTGGCCGAACAGTCAGAGTCAGACCACTTCCCATCGGAATTCCATTCGAAAGATTCGTAGAACTGGCAGAAAAAGCCCCTAGAGTCATCTCTACAAGTCAAAAAATCATACTCGGAGTAGACAGGTTAGATTACACCAAAGGATTGGTTCATAGATTGAAGTCGTTTGAAAAACTGCTCGAGAATCATCCTGAACATAAAGAAAAAGTGTCTATGCTGCAGATTTCTGTACCCTCAAGAACCGATGTTAAAGAATACCAAGATTTGAAAGAAGAAATGGATCAGTTAGTTGGAAGGATCAACGGAAGATTTACAACAGCAAATTGGTAGGTTAATATGGTACATTTGGATTCCCTAACTCATTCACAATCATTTTTCTACTTATTCTAGGTCTCCTATTAGATACATCTTCGGTTGCGTAAGCCAAGATGAACTAGCAGCGTTTTACAGAGACTCAGCAGTAGGTTTAGTAACTCCCTTAAGAGACGGTATGAACCTCGTAGCCAAAGAATTCGTAGCCTGTCAAATAAACATCCCCCCAGGAGTCTTGATAGTCTCACCTTTTGCCGGTGCTGGTGAAACAATGCACGAAGCCCTAATTTCGAATCCCTATGAAATAGACGAGGCTTCCGAGGTTATCCATAGAGCTCTTACGATGCCTGAAGATGAGAGGATATTAAGAATGAATTATTTGAGACGAAGAGAAAAGTTGAACGATGTCAATTATTGGACGAAGTCCTTTTTGTCTGCGATGGGTTCGTTGATGTCGCAAGAAGAATACGACGATGTGGGATCGATTACTATGCCTGCTGTTACTTTAGAAGACTTCGATGAGTATTTATCAAAGTAAGTTTTTTTACTTCTATTCCACTTATCTTGTTTTTACATCATACAGTTCTATCCAAAGTTTGCATTTTTTCAATAAAAAATCTTTATTAGGTATGACGGTTATAGTTTTCTTTCATTCTGATTTGTGCCAGTATTGGTACACTAATGGACTCTTATTTTTGATTGATTAATCTATAGCTATAAGGTGTAGGCACTTACAACTCACTAGTATCCTTTTAAAGTAAGAGGTATCTCTTAGTTAGTAATAATTAAGGATTTTCAATTAAGTATTGTCTTTGTCTGCAATGTGTTTGGCAGTTTGCCAATTGTAGATGGGTTGTGTTCTTCCTCTGTCCAGTCTGCCAAGTCTATGATCCCGAAGTCAGGAAAGTTAGATATTATCTTCAAAGTTTGCAATGTTCATACCATCATCTTTCATTAGGTCACCAATACTGTAATATGAGCCACTGTAAGAGCTTTGTTGCCTTCTTGTCTCTTTGTTTTTGTTTGACGACTTTTAGTATGTTCGGAGATGAATTTTGTAAGTGTTACCCATTTGAGTCTTGTGGTTCTTGCCTTATTAAAATATTTTATTGCTATCTTCCTGGGGTAACACTATCATGTAGTCGTCTTATCGTGTTGGACTAGCTTCGGCGGGCAGCATTCTATAGAGCCGTTGTTTATTATGTTTTAAATAGTGTTCTTTATGCATTATTATTGTGTGATATTTCGGCTATGGCCTCTCATAAAGCTTCTTTGAGAAGATGATCATAAAACTGCTTGTACATCTTCCTATTGTTCATAGATAACCTGCATGTCGGTAACATTAAATTTATTTTGGTCTGACATTGAAATATTATCAAATACTTACCTGTTTTAAATTTACTTGTAGATAACACTTGCAGATAATGTTATGTCTATTAAATTTCTGATATTACGTAAGAATCTAAAAATGTATTGTTTTTTATGTACGCCAGCTTTGCATCTTCAAATTTGGGTGTATACCCAAAAAGGCATTTAAATGGAGTTTTTCCTGTTGTTCCATTAATAGCATTATTTAAATGTCTTTCAACATCTTTCATATTCTTATCCCAGTTTTCTTCATTTTCAATGGAAGTCTTAATTACTGACAATAAAGACTTATTCACAATTTTTATTGGCCGTTGGTTTGTACCTAACAGCAATAATATTGTGATGAATTCCTTTTTTTTTACAGAAACTTTCAAATTCGTTCCCTATAAAAGCTGTGCCTCTATTAGTAACTACTATTCTTGGTATACCAAATTTTTGTATAAAATGATTAAACAGTATTACAGTTTCTTTGCTGGTAACTGTTTTAACAGCAAATAATTGCACAAATTTTGTTAAGGAGTCGATAATAACCAAAACATAAGAGTTACCTTTATCACTTCGAAGAAATGGACCTAAATAATCTACATGTACTCGTTCCATAGATCTACTGGGTAAAGGAATTGGATGTAGTTCTCCAGGCTGCCTTCCACCGGGTGATTTCTGCATGAGACATTCAAAACAGTCATTGATATGTCTTCTAACATATCTTTTCATGCCCTTAAACCAGCAGGTTTCTAATATTTTTGAAACTGTGCGGTCTACTGAGAAATGTCCAGCCAGATCATATATTTTACCACAATTGACTTGCTTATTTTATCCGGTATTACATAAAGATGACGTTCTTTCTTGTCTATGGTTACCTTCTCAAGTAATCTTCCTTTTTCTAAAATATAGTCTCTGGTTTTATTCTTCTCTTCTTTTGATAGATCATCAGAATGTTTGTTCAGTATTTCTATTATTTTTCTAAGATCTTCATCGTTCCTCTGAATCATTAGAACTTTATCTTCTTCATCTAATACTACAGACTGCAAATTTTCTTTTCTTCATTTTCATCTTCTACAGGCGTCGATATGGTGCATCTCGCTTCCAATTCTATGCTTTAACTTTAGTCGTTCCACCCACCACACTATAGTCATAGTTTGTTCAGTTTGAGTATTTTTCTTAGATACACAGTATACTAGGTGTAATTTACCGTCTTTGTCCTCTTGAAGAAGCATACCACCGATACCAACAGCACTACCATCTGTGTGTAGCTCAGTCTTTGCGTTTCTATCAAAAAGTTTCAATACAGGCGCATGCGATAACTTACTTTTCAATAATGTGAAAGCTTCTTCTTTTTTGATACCCCAGCTAAAACTGAAATTCTTTTTAGTTAAATCAGTTATAGATTTAGCTAACAGAGCATATTTTGGTATGAATCTTCTAAAAAAACCAGTTATACCTAAAAATCTTCTATCATCATAAACGTTAGTAGGTCTAGGAAAATTCTCTATGGCTTTCATTTTTTGTTCACCCGGTTTTAATACCATTTTCTGACAAAATGAAACCAAAATATATGAGACTTGGTTACTGCTAAAAACACATTTCTTGATATTTAAGGTGAAATTGGCCTTTCTTTATGTAAACCTGGGATTATCTGCTTATTATTCAGACCAGTTATCACCTGCCTTTAATTTTAGAAAATTATAAGTTTAATTCTCGGCATAGTTTAACTTTATGGTGAAAGTAAGAAAATAGGGAATTTTTACCTGGAGTGTTCTTTTCCTTTTCCCTCCAAAATTCTGTCTTACTTTGTCTCAGGTTGAATGTTGTTTTGAATCGTCTTTTGAACTGTTCGTAGTTTTCAATGAACTCAGCGTTACTCTTGTACCACAATTTGGCTGTACCAACTAAATGGACTTTGACGGTTTCCAGCTTGAAAGACTCGGGCCAATTGTGCAACAACGCCATACTGTCTAACTTTTCCAACCATTCCAATGCCGATTTTCCCATCTCGTCCCCATTAAAATCCTCACTAGTTTTACTAAAATCGGGCATTATATGGTATTTTCCAACAATTTAAGGAATTTCTCTTCACTGGCCTTTCTGCTTTCCTCCATTGTCCTCATCATCATTACGATTTGTCTGTTAATTTCATTTTGACTACTGGCCTCGGTTCTATCATTATCCATATTCTAGAAATTGAATTCGTTACCACTTCTGAATTGTTATCGATAAATATTAATATTATTAAAAAAGAGGATTTTATGCAAAAACAGTTAGCAAACCGACGTTGTGGAAGAGGCAACCTGTCATTTAAAAAAAAATCGTCCAAAACAGACAAGTGGTTTTGACAAATATTTACTTTAAACTTTTTGTTATTTTTCGATGGTGCGTTAATTTATTGGGGAAGTGTATTTGAAGAGTAATTTGAAAGCCCTCATTCACAATTCTTTGTGGCAAATCTTCTAACGATCTTGGCTGAATAGCTTTAAGTGCGACCTAAAAGATCTATTGTACCCCCATCTGTCGCCAATGCACTAAGGAAATGTCTCAAGAGTTCTAGCGCAATCCTTATGTAAATTAACATGGGAAATCGCTAAGGTTCATTCTGCTATTTTTTACGGTGACGTCACGCGTCGAGAATCATCAACTAACTTGTTAAGCCACCAACGGGGGAAGCGGGGAGGAGTGGGGGGAATTAAATCTCTTTTAACGTTGAAGAGAAAAATTATGCCACAAGGGCCTTAGCGTGTTTCTCGGATATTATTGGCCCGATTCAAACAGAAAAAACGGCATTATGAAGAGAACGATTAACGTAGAAGAGAAAAAACATGTGTAAAGCCAGAATGGCCTTAGCATGTATCTTCACTGCTATTGGTCCGATTCAAATGGGAAAAACGGCATTATGAAGAGAACAATTAACGTAGAAGAGAAAAAAACATGTGTAAAGCCAGAATGGCTTTAGCGTGTATCTCGGCTACTGTTGGTTAAATTTAGACGAAGGAAACAACATTATATAGAGAACATGGTATAGATGAATGTTGAAGAAAAAAATCGGTTTCGTTTGACGTTTGACGTTTTTCCTGTTTGAATCGGGCCAATAATATCCGAGAAACACGCTAAGGCCCTTGTGGCTTTTAATTCCGCGCAGGATGTTTCTCTTCAACGGTAATCTATACCACGTTCTCTACGTAGTGCCGTTTTTCCCGTTTGAATTGGACCAGTAATGTCCGAGAAACACGCTAAGGCCCTTGTGGCATAATTTTTCGCTTCAACGTTAAAAGAGATTTAATTCTCCGCACTCCTCCCCGCTTCCCCCACTACCCCGTTGGTGGCTCAACAAGTTAGTTGATGATTCTCGACGCGTGACGTCACCTTAAAAAATAGCAGAATGAACCTTAGCGATTTCCCATGTTAATTTACGTAAGGATTGCGCTAGAACTCTTGTTGCTCCTTTACTAACTCCAATTCCAGTTCCTTTTATGGTTTTGGAACCGTCCGTATACCACTGAATAGCACGTCTTTCGGTTGCAAGTGCAATTGATTCTTGGCTCCATTCTTTTTTGCAGCCCAGCTCTGTGATTTTGAAGTTTTTCACAAAACTGTACTTCTTCAGTATTTCATCCTGGGGCATGTCCCATGTATCTTAAGTCCTGAAGCAAGTAGACTTTCGTCTGATTACTCCGTTCCTGATTATTCTATATCGTGTCCTTTTTGCCACATTCTCTATTATCAAATGTAGATGGGTGAGGTTTAAGATCACCTCCATTGCGGCCGTAGGACAGGTTGTCATTGCATCAGTAATGCAAACATAGGCTAGTCTTTGTACTTTTGAGATATTAGCTCTCGTAGTAGCTAAACTAGTTCTGTTACTCCAGGCTATAGCCCCGTAAGTGATGACTGGTCTCACTATTGCAGTATACATCCATCGCAGTATGTTTGGGTTACATCCCCATTGTTTGCCTGCAATGTTTCTGCATACCGTTAGGGCTTTTGTATCCTTATTTACTACTTCCTTCTCATGTGTATCCCAGAGAAGTTTATTGTCCTAGATATTTGACTTCATTTTTCCATTCTATATCTATCCCGTCTAATTCAACGGTTTTGAGATTAAGTTTTCTTTTCCTTGACAAGGCTACTAGTGTTGTTTTTGTAGGGTTTATACTAAGTCTCATTTCACGGCACCATCTTTTGGTATGTTCTAGTTCTTGTTGGACTATATCACACAGAATATTACTAAACTTGCCTCTAGCAAATATGACTATGTCGTCGGCATAACTTTGACAGGGTATGCCGAGGTCAGTCAATCTGCATAGAAGTTCGTCTACGGTTAGGCTCCACATTAGTGGGGATAGAACTCCTCCTTGTGGACATCCTCTGGTTGTGCAGATGGAGATGGAGTCCTGTCCTATTTGCGTCTCTGCAGTTTCGTAGATAGCAGCTGAGCTTCATCTGGATGTGATGTTATCTACTCCTCTGTAAGCAAGTGCTCTTTTTGCAGATTCGTGTGGCGTGTTATCAAAAGCTTCTTCTATGTCTAGGAAGGCACACACGACCGTTTCTTTGTTTGTCAGTGCATCCTAGATTACAACAATCAGCTGTACCATGGCAGTTTCTGTAGATCTTCCTCCTCGGTACGCGTGTTGGCTGTGGTGGAGTGGCACCCTCTCCAGGACTCCCATTCTGATATAATTATCAACAACCTTCTCCATGTCTTTTTACGCGATATAAGTATAGCCATATTTTCCTTTCTACACCAATGTCTTCTGATGTCTCACTTTCGCCAATTTTTTACTTAATGGGCTTATTCCTTCTAGAGTTCACAGTAACAAAGCCATAATTTTCTCACACATCATGATTTAGATGGATTATTTTATTCATTGCGTCTGTTTGTATTTGTGTATTTGTTTGGATTGCTGAAGTTTCCCTAATTCACGAATATTTTGGTAGATCTGGCAACACTTTGCCTGCTTCAATGATATTTATTTTGGTGATTGATTCAGAGTTGACTAAAAGTAGAAAATCCTGTACCTACCAAATTAAAATTAAAAGATAAGTTTTTGCTTTTTTGTTGTTGTTGTTGTTGTTGTTGTTGTTGTGTTTTTAGTTTTTCTTCTAGTAGATTGTTAGTTTGTAATTTATTATTTTCTTCCAAAAGATCGTATTTTTCATCTTTTATAATCCATTGCAGAAAATTAATTTCATCTAATAAATTGGAATGTGTTACCAAATTAGTTTGATCCTCAATTGATTGATTGTGTTTTTTTAAGTTGCAGCAAACGAATCTTGAATCACACACTTTTATGCATTCTATCTTGTTTTCCACTGCACATGAGAGGTGAAACAAGTTTTCACAATTTACATACACTAGGTTTTTACTAATTTTAGTTTGACAACATTCAAAAGATTTATCTTTAAAGTTTTCTTCCTTTATAGGATAGAGTACATTTTCCACATCGTCCTCTTAATATACTTAAGCCTTTCTATTAAAGAACTGACTTTTCATATACATTTCTTGTTTTAGATATATTGGAAACACGCACAAACTAGCCCTTCTTCTAGATTACGATGGTACATTAGCTCCTATTGCGCCGCATCCAGATCTCGCAATTATTCCCGCCGAAACCAAAAACGTTTTACAAAGACTATCCCGAGTGTCAGATTGTTACATATCTATTGTTAGTGGGCGACCTGTTAATAATGTCAAAGATATGGTATGTACGACATTTTTCTTCATCGGTAACTTTTTAGTTAAATATTTAATACTTTTCATAGGTGGGAATAGAAGGTATCACATACGCTGGAAATCATGGATTGGAAATTCTACATCCAGATGGCACGAGATTCGTTCATCCCATGCCGACGGAGTTTCACGATACAGTGGGTACTTTAATGAAACAATTGCAAGAAAAAGTGTGCAGAGACGGAGCTTGGGTAGAAAATAAGGGGGCTATGTTGACGTTTCATTTCAGAGAAACGCCAGTAAACTTAAGGTAATTTTTATTTATCATGTTTTAAGTATGATTTTTGAAATGAAAGACTGACTTTATTTATTTTCTATGTATTTATATCCTCAATATATACGGTGAACTAATTTTAGCAATTCGAAACATGGTTTTAGATATTATCTGACGATCCCGAACGTATTCTGAACACTACGGTAGACAATACACGCCTGTATAAAGACTTAAACGATACAAATCTAGTAATGATATGCAGTGTAATATTTATCTTAGTGTTCGGAATCAGTACGGGATTGTTATCGCGAACAAAGCTATTATTTAAAAGTAAAATAAAAACGAATAAATAGCCTTTAAAAAACAAATTAAACCAGAATCACAATTTGTACTTAAATTTTATTCTTCTTAACTTACGTTTTTTATATTTTCCTATTTGTAGTCATTCTGGTGATTTCCTCCATTGTCTTTTCTCTTCTTGTTACGTTTATATAAAAAAATGTTACGTTACAAAGTTATTATTTAAAAACATATGTTATAAAAACATATTTTGCACCAGATGATACGTTAACTTTTTAACCCTCACCTGGGTCTGATTGTAAAAATCTTTATAATAAGAATTCTTACAAGCCTCAGGCCTAGCTCAGATCAAAATGGGTCAGTGAGATTCGTTTAGAATTCACCTTCAAGTCAATGACAAGGTCTTTAATTAAAAAGACTTAAAAGAATTCAATTAAATTAATTTGGGCGCCATACCTTTAGATGTACAATAAAAGTAAATTTGCCATTAACTTGTCAGTTGAAAGTAAGGAAAATAAAAGAACTTAAATTTCAAAACAATTAATCGGCTTTAATTTAAAATTCATTTAAACAATTACTCGGCTTTAATTTAAAATTAATTCATTTACACAATTACTTGGCTTTAATTTAAAATTAATTCATGAATGAATGATATTACAATAAAAAGAAAAAGAAATTTATTGATTTTAACAAATTTTACGGTTTACGTTATTTGACTGATAATGAGTTTAAAATTAAAATTGACTAGTATAACTTTGACTCAAAAATTGTGTGTGTGGTCCTGGCCGACACTTATCTTGTGTTTCCGGCTTTCAACGGTCGAACTGGTCCGTGTCGCTCAGCCTACGATGACTTTCTAATATTCTGTAGTTCTAGATGTAACTCAGCTTACGATGACTTTAGACATTCTGCAGTTCTAGATGTAACTCAGCTTACGATGACTTTCTATATACGAGTTCTTAGTTATCAAAGCCAGTTCCTTACTGTCTTTACAAGCCAGTTTCTTAAGTTATCAGGGCCAGTTCCTTAATTTTAAGAAAGAAAAAACGTGTCAGTTACAACAAAAAAAAACGTATCTTTCCATTGCTTCAAAAAAGAAAAAAAAACATGTGGTTAGCCTAGGAGTCAACCATAAAAAGCTTACTATTTAAATTAAACATTTTTAAATTGAACATTTCAAGTTTACAACAATACTAGAGATTTGCAATAGTATTTAAATTAAAATACATGAAGAATGGAAAGATTTTTTTAAATAACAGAAAAAAAAATATAAAATTAATGGCAGCCATTTTGTACATTGCATGGAACTTATGTTACGCGGAAATCTCGAAAATAAATGAATGAAATAACTCACAGATAATTTCACCAGGATATACACGCATAATAAAATTAATTTCTACCATTCATTATAAAATAAAAATGATTCGGTTACCTTAGTTAGTTCGGAAACACTTAACAAATCACTAAATTAAACCAACCGGTTTGTTCGGCTGCAAGGTAGAAAAGAAATAATAAAGCAAACGAAAACGTGATGTATTCCACAGGTGGCCAGGCGTGCGCACGACCTTTGACCGTAATTATTGATTTTTAGAGAAGGCGCATCATTAGTTGAGCCATAGAATGTCTTTAGACGGAGATAATTTCCCCGAGTTAATATAATATCCATATTTCCAAATACGAGGGGCGCTCAAAAAGTATTAGAATATATTGGAATATTTGAACCAATTAAATATTGTAATTATTAAAAGGGAGTGACGATTACAAAGTAACATTCTTTAGCGTAAATCTGCAATTCTCTTTATTTATTTGTGTCTTTTGATCTTCCTCTATTCCTTCTCCTGGTTTATTTTTTCAATTACTATACATATATCTTTGTAAAATTATTATTCTAATTTTAATATTTTTACTTAGACCATCATTAGAAAAAGAAGCCAAAGCTCTGATAGAAGCAACCGGTTTCATTGCCGATACGTCACATTTAGCCATAGAAGCCAGACCTCCAGTCCAGTGGAATAAAGGTAGAGCCTCTATTTACATTCTAAGAACTGCCTTCGGCGTAGATTGGAGCGAAAGGATAAGAATCATATATGTTGGTGACGATCAAACTGACGAAGATGCTATGCAGGTATTTATTTTAATATACAGTCAAATCTCGAACAGTACTTGGAGATAGTTACATTATTTTCATATTTTAAATAGGTCACTCTATAGATTTTTAAATTATTTAAAAGTAATTACCCTTTGATGTGAGTTAAATAATGTTATTGGTTAAAAGCTTGGTCTTAAAAGTGAAATATTCCATTTAAAATCTAAGCTTGAAGATTTAAATTTTGTAGCTTTTTTTTCCTCTATCATAAATTTAGACAATTTTAACTCATTAATATTTACCGTTTCGGAGGTCTGTGAACACAACCTCCAGGATTACGTCTGCTGGGAAACAAATTACGTAAAGTAGGTACGAGATACCCCCTTAAAAACTCAAGGTACGTTACCCCGTTTAAATTACCTTCGATAAAGTAGAGTCCGATGATTCGATTTCTTACAATTCCAGCCCATACATTTACCTTTTGCGAGTATTGTGTATGATGCTCACGCATACAGTGGGGGTTTTCTTTTGCCCAGTATCTACAATTCTGACGGTTAACCTCATCAGAAAAAATAATGTTTTGTATAAAAAGAGGGCCTCTGTGACATTTATCCATCATTTTTTCGCAAAATTGGATTCTTCTATCGGGATCATCTTCGTTTAATTCCTGCACAAGTTTGATTTTATAAGGATGCCATTTTTCAAGCTTTAATAGTTTGTGTACCGTTGTTTTGCTAACACCGATATCGCGACTAACTTTACGCACAAAAGTGTACGCGTCTTCTTCAAAACTAAGTAAAACATCTAATGCTGTATCAGCATTTGCAGAGGGACGACCTGATTTGCGTACATTTTCAACCTTACCAGTTTCTCGAAACTTCTTTTCAATCTTACTGACTGTTAAACGCGTTATAGGTCTTTCTGGATATTTATCATTAAACAAATTGCACACTTCCATCTGAGTTCGCGATCTGTCTCCATACCCAATCATCATAAGTATTTCAATTTTTTGTTTCACACTTAACTTCATTTCTAATTCAAATTAAATCTAAGCAATAATTAAAACATTCACGAATATCAAAAATATTGTAGTACTAAACTGTCAGTGAACATCAATAAATTACTAAACAAATAATGACATTTCACAAGAAACTAGACGACTATGTTATTTCAAAATTGATAAGAAATTATTACTTTCATATTCTGTCTGCTAGACCACAAGTCCACCCTGTACCAATTGGAATCAACATGTGATACATTTTTGGAATCAGCTCAGCTAGAGTAATCCGAAATTTGAGACAAAATGGGGGTGTTCCATTTAAAGAAAATGACTGTGACGTCATTACTCGAAAGTAATTCACCCTGTATATTAGATTATTATTTTAAAATACGGTAAATTAAAATCAAAAATCGACGTGTTTCAGGATTATTTCTTAAAATGGTCTGTTTAGCTAAAAATGAATTTGTTCCATACTATACGGACACACTGTATAATAATAATTCATATTTCGAGTTTTTTAATTTGTTCATAACTTATTTTTGTTGGATGGGCAAACGGAAATAATGTGTGGACAAACGATTCTCGTATTTAATTTATATGAAATCTATTTGGGGGACGGACAAAACAAAAATGTTGGTTGGACAAACGTGGACAAAGCGTGGACAATTGAATACCACTTTAAAATTATCAAAAATTTTTTGTGCCGGTGCTATGAAATTTGGCTCAATTTTGTAAATTTGCTATAACTTTTTTTTGAAAGGTGGACAAACGGAAATTGGGCCTGGGCAAACAAAAATATTGTGTGGACAAACGATTGTAATATTTAGTTTAAATAAATTGCCATTTAAAGTACTTATATTAACAATTTTTTATGGTTTAAGATTTTAATTGTTAATAACTTATTTTTTTTGGAAGAAGAAACGAAAATAAGGACTGGATAAATGAAACTAATGTGTAGATAAATGATTGCCGTATTTAATCCGTATGAAATATATTAAGGTTGTCCCTAAAGACCATCTGCATTATTTTTTATTTTTTAAATATACCTCTTTTGGGGGGTGGACAAACGAAAATAATGTGTGGACAAACGATTGTCATGTCTAATTCGTTTGAAATGAATTAAGGTTGTCCCCAAAGACCACCTGCATTATTTCTAAATATCCCGGTTTTGGGGGGTGGACAAACGAAAATTTTGATTGGACAAACGTGCCGTTTTTATATTTTATGGAATATATCTGGTATTTATGTTTGGAGAAGAAAATTGTTCAGATAAAAATTACTTACAATATTATTATCTATAATTTTGGTTCTATACAATTTTTTTAAATGGTCCGTATTCGAGAAATTTGACAAAATGTAATAAAATTCAAATTTTTAGGAAAATTGTTTAAATAAAAGTTATTTGTGTTATTGATCTCTATAATTTTTGTTTTTTATATGATTTTTCTAAAATGGACCGTATTGAAGGAAAAGCGCTAAATTTAAATTTTTCAGTATTTTCGTTTTCAATGAATATCTATAGAAAAATGTTTCGAGTTAGATGTATGTGGAAAATGTATATATTTAGTTTATCCTCTAAAAATTTATAGAGGTGCTGTAATAGGTTGTACAAAATAATCAGAAAAAGCCTATAATAACTAGATAGGAAAGTCATGTGTTGGACACATCAGATTTTTTATTTCAGTAGATTTATTGAATTTGTTGGCTTGTTTCTGCCTTATATGCTTTTTAACATAGGTTTTTTAAGTTTCGCTGAAAAATATTAGGGTCATCACGGGTATTATTAATTTTTTCGATACGGTTTTGTTTTTCTTTTAACAAATCTTTATTAATTTTTGAATATAGCAGTTTTGTTCTTTCTTTGTGGTCATTTATGTAGTTATTAATAAGAATTTTGTCAATATCTAAGTTAAAAGGGTCGTCTGTGTTCATATGTCCGTTAATTGTGTCTATAGGTTTTCGCTTGGTTGTAGAATGTATAGAGTGATTATATGCCATAATTGCATAAGGCATTTTTAAAAGAATTGGTGTTTTAAGAGAGCCTTTAGTGTTAAGTAACCGTATGTATTTTATAATTGTCGAATGTAGTCTTTCTATGGAACCTTGTGATTGTGGGTGTTTAGGACAACATAAATGTATTTTAATTTTATGTAGGTTGAGAAGTTCTGTTATTACGGTATTTTTGAATTCAGTACCATTGTCGGTGTATATTTGTTGAGGGATACCATGGTGAGAGAAGAATGTTATAAGGTTGTTAACGATTTCGGTGCTACAAAGACATGCTAGATGGTATGCTTGCGCATATTTTGAAAAACTATCAATGTTTGTCAAAAATTTGATACCGTTCGAGAGTAAATGTATCTATATACAGGGTGGCTCACGCTCAACGGGACGGAGCTTTATGGGAAAACGACCAAAGATATAAAAAATTCGTTTGGGAGGAATACGTAGGTTACAGACGGCTACAATTTAAAATTTGTTAGATGTATACAGGATGTCCCACATAAGAAAAAAAAATAGTTCATTCAAAATTATTCAAACAAGAGTAAACAATTAATTTCTGGGAGACTTTTTTTCCTTAAAAATTCAAATTAATCGAAAACTAATAATAATAGTAATAGGGAACCTTTAGTTAACTGACATTATTTTTGATGTAGTTTTTAATTCTAAAATAAAAAACAGGGTGTTCCATTAAAAATAATATAACTTTGTATATTTTCTCTTATGTGGGACATCCTGTATACATCTAACAAATTTAAAATTGTAGCCGTCTGTAACCTACGTATTCCTCCCAAACGAATTTTTTATATCTTTGGTCGTTTTCCCATAAAGCTCCGTCCCGTTGAGCGTGAGCCACCCTGTATATAAGAATTGAAAACGTTTTGTTGGAGTACGGGTTTGATTCATTTTTATTTTTACGGGATTTCTTTCGTATTTGCTTTGTTGGCAAATTTTGCTTTCATTTATATAAGTTTGTATTGAGTTTTTCATGAAAGGCCAATAATATTTGTCTTTAAGTCTCAAATATGTCTCGTCCATATCCCTGTGGTTTGTTTTGCCTTCGCGATAGGCTTGTATAAGTTCATTAACTTCGTCTTTGGTTGTAATATCTAATAATTTTTGGGTACACCTTTTAAATTTGATAGCAGAGTTTTTAAAATTATTTTGTAGAATTACTAAGAATGGCTCAAAAACATATTAGGATCTTCGAAATAAATGTAATGAAAGCCGTCTAGATTAACGTAATTTTTTATAAGATTAATTACATCTGATTCAAGGTTATTATTTGAAATTTGAGCGCTAATTCGTCTTTTTTTTTCGAAAAGAATTTTTATTTTTGGGGTAGCTGGTGAATGTAGTACGTCACTGATAATTATTTAGTTTTGTCCGTAGTTCACAGCTGTCTTTATTGAGGGTATTTCAAAAGTCGGATTGTGAGGTAAATTAGAATGTATAGTAATGTCGTCACTGTCGTTATTTTTTTCAATATTTTCAGTTTGATCATTTAGTAATGTTTCTATTTCGTGTGCTGTCTCAGTATGAGCATCTTAGTCAATTTCAAGTTGTAGAGATATATTATCTATATCGTCATTTATTTTTACTGTATTATTTTTTAAGGGATTTTCAAGTATAGGTATGTTCTCGGTATATAAATCAATAAGGTCATTTTGGTTAGTACTTTGTTGTAGTGTGTTATAATTAAATAGATCTAAGTTTTGTTCGTTGTAATTTTCAGCATCTTTTAATATATCTCCTATTTGTTGCCAAAATGGGTTTGTTTTTTAGTATGCAGTTCGATTCTAGATGAGGCGTCGGCGTTTGAATTTAGGCTACCTTTTTTATAAATTATGTTATATGTGAATTCCGATAATTTTAATTTCCAACGAGTAAATTTTGTGTTTTCTTCTTTTAAGGAAATAGCCACTTAAGGGGTTTATGATCTGTTATGATATTAAAGATTCGGCCGTACAGATACGGACGGAAATATTTAGTGGCCCACACAATGGCCAAAAGTTCTTTTTCAATAACTGAATAATTCTGTTCTGTGTCATTTAAGGTACGAGATGTATATGCAATTGGTAGGTCCTTATCAATAGGGCCTTGCGAGAGAACAGTCCCCAGAACGACATTGCTTGCATCCATGGTTAAATTGAAGGTTTTTGAGAAGTCAGGGTATTGCAAAATTGGTTCGTTAATTAACAAATTTTTGCATGTTTCGAAAAATTTAATAAACTCTGAATCGTGTACGATTTTTGCCCTTTTTTTAAAACATTTAGTTAATGGTTTTGTTATTTTGGCGAAATTTTGAATAAATCGGCGATAATACCCTAACAACCCTAGAAAACCCTTAATTTGTTTCGTTGTAGAAGGTATTGGATATTTTTTGATAGCTTTTATTTTATCGGGGTTCGGTTTGACGCCCTCTGGAGTCACAATGTGACCTAAGTAGACCACTTATTTCCTTAAAAATTCGGACTTGTCCAGCTGAATTTTGAAATTTGACTCTCTAAGACGCTAAAAAACTTTCGTCTTCGTTATCTTCAGTTTCTGATTATGAAGAAGAGTGACTACATTTTGAATATAACCACTTTCTTCCAGATTTCTTATCTTCACAAATCTGCTTTGCTCGTTGACCAACCTTGACATTCTCCATTACTGTGTGGCTTCTTTTTCATTTTCCCCAGATTAAACACCACTGATAAGTTCTGGCAACACTCAGTGAACTTCTTCAGAAGATCTTCTTAATAGAGTAAAGATATGGTTACACTGGATGCAGTATTTCAGTTCTGTCGATATGCTATCATATGCTTATCAGTTGTTCATTTCGAAGTCCACTTTTTGTCCCTATTTTTTTGCAGATGTCGAGAATTATTAATATTTGTAAACGTTTTTAATCACCAAAATTTGTTTCGGATAAAAATTATTTCGCGAAAATTATTTTTTCACATTAAAGATTATTACTTATTCACTTTGATATAAAATGTATTGTTTTTTGTTAGTTTTTACCACTGAAATTTGATTTCAATAGAGCGCATGAATGATGATTGAGAATCTGTGACAGCTAAGATCATTGTTATTATTTTCTTGTTTGTATATTCTCCAGAGCTTACATTTTTGTTTTATCTTCCGTATTAATTCCAGATTTATCCAAGTTTTGGTTTATTCTTATATATTTAATTTTTATTATCGTTCGTTATCTGTTACGATTTTATATTCAGATTATATAAAAATTAATAAAAAACATATTTTTCCAGGCTCTGAAAGGTATGGCGGCGACATTCAGAGTAACCACCTCCCAAATAACCAAAACCTCCGCAGAACGTCGACTACCATCAACCGATGCCGTGTTAACGATGTTGAAATGGGTAGAGCGACATCTAGGCAGGAGGAAACCGAGTTTAGATCCAAGTCCGCTAAGAAGAGGATCCGCTCAAGTTATGCATAACATACAAATGGAGATGACCATGCAAAATTCGATTCATGATATGGAAAACAAGTAAACCGATATGATGCCAAATTATTGTGATGTTCTTTGTATATAAATAAGAAAATTGATAGAAAGATTGTTGCGATTGTTAGGATTTTTCCCCAGATCTAGGGAAATTTGTAGTATAGGTGTAGTAAGTACGACTAATGAATATTTAGAAATTTGACAAAAAGGGCAATACCGTTTGTACAGATCGACAGAAGCGATGTTGTCATTTTGTAAAGTTTCTGGTTAATTATCGGCCGTACTTATCATTGATTCATGAAGATCTACTTTACAAATTTCCCTAAATCTGGGAAAAAATAGATGAAAGTGTCTTTGTTACTAAGCGATATGTTCAAAATGCGATGGTTTTCTTAGATTAAATGTAAAAAAAATCTGTTTAATTCGTTAGATTTTAAGTAAGTTCCTAGACCTGAAAATCCTCCAATTTTGTGCATACAAAATTTTGATATACAAACAAATTTGACGTAACAATTAACTTTTTTTTTAATTTTTAATTTTTATTATTGTGATCGTGTATTTCTGCCTTTTAAAAGGAGTGCTGTTTTTTATGTCATACCAAAGTATCAGCGCACACTGTTATACAGTAAATTCGTTGTGATGGTTTAAAATTTTTTATTGCAAATATATTTTTACTCTAGATATTATTTATTTTGAATTTTGTTATAAGATTTCTTTATTCATAAATCGCCGTTCATTACACTTTGTTTTTCAATACTCGTATACGAATTAAATTGGTAAGTAATTAAGTTCCATAAATTATCGCCCAAAAAAAATCCATCTCAGTAGCTTTTTGGTAGAATCGAGAAATTACATCCTGTAAGTGATAAAATGTCAATAGTAGTTAAAACATGCACAGCAAATGGACTCAATATAAGAAGTTTCCCTAGAATTTGTCATATTCCATTAGTGAAATTTTTCCCCAGATCTGGGGAAATTTAAGAACTTGGCAATACCGCACTGAATGAAACATTACGTAACTTAGTTACGTTACTTAGCCGAAAATGGTCTAAATGACAGATATGGTACATATAATTGGTGATTTCAATTTTTGGTCCATTGTCGGTCATCGATTATGTAACTCAGAAAAACAGTGCCCTCTTAGTAGAATCGGCCAAATGCGAACAGCACAAAAGGTATTCAAAGTTTATATTATGGTAGCGAATTTTTTCCCCAGATCTGGGGAAATTTAAGAAATCTGGCAAAACCCCACCGAATGAAACATTACGTGACTTAATTACATTATTTATCCGAAAATGGTCTATCTTAATGACTGATTATTGTACATTAAATTGGTTATTTCCATTTTTGGTCAATCATCGGTCATCGATTATGTAACTCATAAAAACAGTAACCTCTAAGTAGAATCGGGCAAATACGAAGAGCACAGAATGTCGTATTAAAATTTCATATTCTGGTAGTGAATTTTTTCCCCAGATCTGGGGAATTTTAAGAAATCTGGCAATACCGCATTAAATGAAACATAACGTTACTTAGCCAAAAATGGACTGTCCAAATGGCTCATATATTGTACATACAATTGGTTATTTCAGTTTTTATTCCAACTTCGGTCATCGAATGTGTTACTCAGAAAAAACAGTAATCTCTTAGTAGAATCGGGTAAATACGAACAGCACAGAAGAAAAGTAATTTTCCAGTAATGGGATTTTGTCCCCAGATCTGGGGAAATTTGAAAAATCTGGCAATATCGCTCTAAATGGATTATTATTAGTAGATTAACCTACGAGTGTGGCGAATTTGGAAAATTTGTCAACATAGCACAACGAGACATGCGATCACGTGACAGTAGACATATACGAATAGGGCACGCAACATGTGCAGTAGATCAACCTGTTTACAGATAGCAAAATATGATCCTGTGACCTGTAAAAATCTGTACCGAACGCATCCCTCAATTATTTTTTATACGATTAGGTGTTGCCAGATTTCTGAAATTTCCCCAGATTTGGAGAAAAATCAATGAATTTGTATTCCAGTGTCTG